ATCGGAGTGGTAGTGAGTGATCCACCTGTTTACAGCCTCCCAAGAGCTGGGCTTATAGGCATGTTCCACCATGCCCAGTCTCAATTGTGGTCTTAGTGAGCCCAAGGGATTGAACCCTCTGCCTCTGTGCCTTGCAGGCACTTTAATCTGCTGAGCTATTTCGCCATCTTGACATTCCTTTTGAGTAGTTCAGACTCAATTTTTCAAGATTCCTAGGTTTTGTTTGTTTTTGTTTTTTTAATTGTATTTGGTTGTTACGGGGTCTCACTATGCAGCTCCGACTCATAGTGATCCTCCTGTTTTCAGCCTCCCCAGTGCTGGGATTACCGGTGTACACCACCTTGGACTCTGGCTGCCGTGGACTCTAGGGCCAACTCTGTGGCCTACTCTGTGGCCTGCTTAGCCCACCCTATGGGCAGGGCTGGCACAGCATGTGGTGCCAGTGATGGAACTGCGGTACCTGCACTTGTCTAACCAGGCCCTTTCGGCCCCCAGGATTCCTAGGTTAGAGGAATAGCTGGTAGACACCTTAGGACAAGCTCTCATTGATTGATGGATTGATTTTTTTTTTTTTTTTTTTTTTTTTTGATACTGGGGATTGAATTCGGGATCTTGCACTTGCCAGACAGGCTCTTAGGCCCATATCTTCTCGGCCTGCTCTTACTGATTTATGTGCCAGAGGAGTCACTAGAGATTCCCCTGGAACTTATCTGTGAGGTGGGTGACCTTTCCTCCCAGTAGCCTTCATTTGTTAGCACAGACAGCCTGGCTCCGGGGTCTTCTTGCCAACCTCTGCTTCCCTGTCCTGCCTGCTTGCTTTATTTGCTGGGACTTGGCACTCCCTCTATTGCATCTGATAAGGCTGTCATCCTGTGTGACTCAGCTAGTTCTTGTCCTGTGAACTTTGGGAGTAACTAAAGTCACTGCTCTCACCTGTCTTCCATGGCCGCCATCCACAGGTGCAGTGTCCTTGTATCAGCAGGTGCAGTTGTTAGTGGGACCTGAGATGATCTAACTTAGATTTCATTGCTGAGGCTAAAACTATGAACTCCATTACTTCTTAAACATGGAGCAGGAAGTGTTAAATTCTTGGAAATGAGGCATGGACTCATGTTTGTAAAAGGCATTGTGCAGTGCTGAGCATGGTGGCTCACACCTATAATCCCAGCTCTCCAAGAAGCTGAGGCAGCAGGTTTGAGATAGATAAATAGATAGATAGATAGATAGATAGATAGATAGATAGATTGATTTTTTTTTTTAAGGCTACCTTCCTTTCTTTTTCTTTTCTTTTCTTGTCTTTTCTTTTCTTTTCTTTTCTTTTCTGTGTGGCCAGCTCAGCCCACCAGGGGGCAAGGCTGGCTAGCATGTGGTGCTGGGGGATTGAACCGCGGTCCCTGTGCTTAAGCTTGTTCTTTTTTTTTTTTTTTTTAAAGAAGGAAAGGTTTTTTTTTTTGTTTGTTTGTTTGTTTTGGTTAAA